GTAGCTGCTGGTGAAGTCTTTATTATGTAAAGTGACTTTATCCCATGACCCATTGACAAAGTGGGGATGGGCAGGAAGCTACAAGCAACTATTCTGTCTCTTAAAGCATGTTTCTTTCTTTTCACATCCAGATAAATATTCTGCCTTTTCAATATTTCCTAGGATATTTCATTTTTCTGGGAGAGGGCTGGGTGATAACTTCCCACACCTTTTACATGAATTAAATTTCTCAAGATAAAACAGCCCGTTTCTCGGACAGCAGGTCGTTCTGCCATTGAGGAACCTTAGCAGGAGAGTCCAGAAAAATTACAGCTGGGCAAATTCTTTTTTTTGTTCCCCATATATTTTTTATTATTATTTTTTACATTTAAAATAATGCAGTACAGCTGGGCAAACCCTCAGGTAAACAATTCTCGTTAAGAGGCATCGCTCCACCTCTGAAGCCTCCCAAATCCTAATTTCGACTCAACGAAGCCACGTTGTGTCCGTGAAGCACTTGCGTTAAAAGACACACCGCAATTTTTTTAGAAAACATAATGCAAAGAAGAAGAATAAAATATGACATCTGAATCGAGTTCGACTCTCTGTCACGGCTTCGCGGTTTCTGTGAGGGAAAATCCCCTCACGGCCAACCGCCATTCGGAAAGCTCCGAAGATGGAGGCGCCCGCGGCGAGGAACAAACTTCAAAATGGCGGCCGCCATTCGGGGGCACCCGGGATAGCCCCGCCCACAGGAAGGGGGGGAGCTAATCCCAAAATGGCGCCCTCCACACTTCCGGTCGTCCGCTTTAAGGGCGTTGCAAGATGGCGGCCCGCGGAAGCCGCCTGCTGCTGGGTGGCGTCCGGCTGTATAACGCCAAGCCGCTTAAGTTACAACTGAAGGGGATTTACCGGCCGAACGCTGCCGACCCAGCCGCTCCGGCTTGGCAATTGACGGCCGAATATGAAGCCAAGCTGTTTGGCCGGCACGGGCGAGCCTCCGGGGTGGACCCGAGCCGCCTGTGGCCGTCGCTGGAGAAGCTGCAGGAAATGGAGGCTGAGGAGAAAGCCTGGTACCCGTCCTTGAAGGAGATGCAGCAGTCGCTGGAGGCCAAAGAGAAGGTGGCCGAAGCCCAGCAGCGGCAGAAGTGAGGAAGGGAGGGAGGTTGCAGGTGGCAAAATTAGACACAGCTAAGTTTTAATTATTAGGGGGGAAATGTTATGATATAGGACAGTGGTCTCCAATATTTCTCTGGATGTGAAAAGAAAGAAGCATGTTTTAAGAGACAGAATAGCTGCCTGTAGCTTCCTGCCCATCCCCACTTTGTCAATGGGCCATTGAGAAAGCCAGGCTAGCCCACTTTACATAATAAAGACTTCTCCAGCGCAGCCCCAGGGAGGATGGGAGTAAAGCAAAGCTGGCTGAGGAACTCTGGGAGTTGAAGACCACAGGTCTTAAAGTTGCCAAGGTTGGAGACCACTGGATATAGTTAAATAAAGGATAATGATAATAAATTATATACATGGAGGATTAGAAAACTTTGGCATTAAATATTATGGATGTTTAGCCAGAGCAGGATATGAGGATTTCATGTTAATGGGAGGGTTTTATAAATTAAGTAAGTGGAATGCCAGTATATGGTTATGTATTAAATCTTGTTATATTTTTTGAAGGCCGTTTAAATAATCTATAGTCAAATAAAAGTGGAGGCATGATGGTGGTAATATAATAAATATCCGTTAAGATATTAGAGTTAATATTAGTATATTTTAGGATGAAGGACGTTTAAATAACTAGAGTCAAATAAAAGTGGAGGCATGATGATGGTAATATAATAAATATCCGAGTTAAGATATTAGAGTTAATATTAGTATATTTTAGGATGAAGGACGTTTAAATAACTATAGTCAAATAAAAGTGGAGGTATGATGGTGGTAATATAATAAATATCCGAGTTAAGATATTAGAGTTAATATTAGTATATTTTAGGATGAAGGACGTTTAAATAATTATAGTCAAATAAAAGGGGAGGCATGATGATGGTAATATAATAAATATCCGAGTTAAGATATTTGAATTAATATGAATTATGCTTGATGACGGTGGGAAGAGATGCACGAAAGCCTTTCGTAACCAGCTGATACACTTTCTACAGTATCTAAAGGAGGAGGATTTGTATGTTTGTTTTGAAAATAAAAATTAAAAAAAAAAGAAGAAGAAGCACATGGTCTCATCAAAGGATCCGTGTCGATGCTTGGTTCAAGGGGCCCGTTTGCCACTCAGCCAGCAAACCACACGCACTTTGGGAATGGCCCTTGAGTTGGCCTTAGGCTTCTGAATGGAGGCCCAATTAGCAACAGCAATAGCAGTTAGACATATACCGCTTATATACCACTATGATGCTGCTCTTGCCTGGTAGATCATTTCCAGAGCAAGGTGTTTGGAGGATTGCTTTGTTCAGGCAACTTCTTCCCAGGTGCTGTCTGAGTTTTTATTCTTCCTTCCCTCTTATGAAGTAGTGGACGTGCCAAATGAATCAGGGCATAGTATAGTAATCTAGATAAAATGAAAGTACTATTGATAGATGACTTTTTTTGCAGAGCGGTGTTTCTCAACCTTGACAAACTTAAGAAGTGTAGATTTTAAATCCCTGCTGACTAGGGGACTTCTGGGAGTTGAAATTCACACATCTTAAAGTTGAAAAATACTGCTGTAGAGAAATACGATATTCTATATGAAATTGCAGGCTCCTTTAAGGAGCACATTTGCAATTCGAGTAACATGCTCATATTGGATGGCAGGTAAAATGGCATTTATGTGAAGTTTCCACTGATTTGACTACTCTCCATTATAACTTTGGGCTTTTTCTACATTACTTTGAGGATTCAAGTGGCATAAAATGCAATTTGTAGATTGCTGGTTTAACAGGTTAAATTGAACACCTGTCAATATTTTAAGATCAGTGTCATGGTATCTCTATGAACACTATCCAAAATGAATATTTTAAATTGTATAGCTATTGTAGACTTGGGTGTTAAAATAACTATTTAGTATGAACCCATTCACCCATTAAGGTGAAAATGCTGAAAATTAAAAGTGAAAATGCTGAAAATTAAACTGAAAATGCTGAAAATTAAAGTGAAAATGCTGAAAATTAAACTGAAAACATACTTTCTGTGTCAAGAGCTACGTAATGTTTTGTTTCATAGTTTCGTCCTTTGCTTTATAGAGAGGAGATAATTGCTGCCAAGATGGCCAAAATGCCACAGATGATAGAAGAGTGGCAGAGTGAAAAACAGAAACGCAAGCTGAAAGAACAGCAAGAAAAAGAACGGCGGCGGTTGTTACTGGCTGAGGCCCGGGAGCAGTATGGCTATCACCTGGATCATCACAGTCCTGAATTCCAGGAGATGGTGATGGAAAGGGAGAAGATGAAACGGATGGAGCAGAAGGAGGAGAAGAAACGTATGAGGGGGATTCAGGCCAAAAAAGCCATGGAAAGCAAAATCCTTGCCTCATCTCCAGATAACCAGGAGGAGATGGCTGAACAAAAGGACATCTAAAATACCGCATTATCAGTCTTTGAAATAAATCTGCCTACAGATTGTGACATATAATTCTCAGAGCCCAATCAATTTACTGCCCTTCTCATCGTGCATTAAAGGCCAACTTAGAGTTCTTATGAAATGTGGAATGCTTTACTCTACAGAACAATCTAAAGTCGTTTCTCTGCCCTGCTGTCACCATTTGGAGCTTCAGCAATGGATTTTTGAACAGCAAATGCATTCTCTGGATTTTCTCAGAAGAGCAAGCTCTCTTTCCACCATGTGAGAGTCCCAAGGGAGTGGGCGGCATACAAATCTTATTAAAGTTTAAAGTTAAAGTAACTAAGGGGTCCTTGGGCCTCGGGCCGTTGCCTATTCAGAACTGGGCCACGAAGCCGCTTGCTCCTGGCGCTCCAAAAGCGCTCCAAAAGTGGTAGCAGAAGCCGAGTGAACATGCCCTTCTCAGCTTTGCTGACTCAACAAAGGCTGCCTGTGCAGGAGATCCGATCTGCTTTTCAAGCACCGGGCAGCCTCCGTGAGTCTGAAGGCGCATGAGGCTGCACTTCCAAAGGCGTCTCTTCTCCGTGCCAAAAGCTTTTGCGAAGGGATGTGAAACACTTTGTGGGAGCAATCTTATACTGTTTCAGGCCTTCTGTCCCTTCGCAAAAGCTTTTGGCATGGAGAAGCCTGAAGGAAACAGCGCCCCAAAGGCTACTTTTCTCTCTTGCATTCCGGCACACTGCTTGCGCACCCACCCCCACCGCCAGGTTACCAAGCCACAAAGTTTGGGGACTACTGAGCTATCTGACTGCCGTATTCAATTTGCTGAATAAATATATGGCGTTGTAAGTTTAAAAAAAAATATATTTACTTTTAACCAAATGGCAGAATGTGGTTAAATATATTTTGTTAGGCATCTAAAAATAAGTTGGGGTGTGTGTGTTAAAGGTAAAGGAGACCCCTGACTTATAGGGGGTGGCGCTCATCTCTCGAGGTATTTTGAGACTGTTCGGTCAGAAGATGCCTCCGTGGTCATGTGGCCAGCATGACATTATGGAGCGCTGTTATCAAAGTGATACCTATTTACTCAGGTTTGGATGCTTTTGATCTGCTAGATTGGCAGGAGTAAGGATGGGAGCCTCCTTGCACGATGCTCAGATGTCCAAACTGGGCTGTTGGCTTTCCAGCCCACAAGCCTTAACCATTAAGCCATAGTGCCACCCTAAGATTATGTCCTAATTCAGTGATGGCTAACCTTGTGGATCGCGTGCCAAGAGCAGAGGGAGTGCGGTGTGTGTGTGTGTATCATGCCTGGACGTGCCACACCCATGCTGTGCACGCAACCCCAGCATGCATGCGTGCACAACCAGCACTCCACACACACAAACACACTTTTGGCACACTTTTTTCGCCTTCCCCTGGCTCCAGAGGTTTTCTAGAAACCTGGGGAGGGCGGAAACAGCCCCCGCCCTCCCTGAGGGGCCCTCCGGAGGCTTCAGGAGCTTCCCGGAAGGCTCCAGAGGGCGAAAAGCAGCCCTATGAACAACCCGGAAGTTTGGGAAAGAGTTTGGCCGTAGGGCTGATTTTTCGCCCTCCGGAGCCTTCAGGGAAGCCGCCTCTGTTCCTGAATTTCCAGGTTGCCCCTAGGGCCATTTTTTTGCCCTCCGGAGCCTGCCTGCCTTCAAAAGAAGGCTGAAGTCAGCTGGCCAGCGCGCACATGCGCACTGGAGCTGGCAGGGCAACGCTTTGGATGCCCTAACAAATGGTTCCGCGTGTCATACGTTCGCCATCACTGTCCTAGATAATTATTGCCTAGAATTTTGGCTGGATGTTGTTTGGTACATTTCTTAATGGTAAAATTACTAAATTTAACTTGACACATTGTCATCAGTAATGGCTATGGAGGAGGAATGTCCCTGACATTATTCCTTCGGCCTCTTATTAAAGGTAAAAGAATGTAAAGCAGTGTTTCTCAACCTTGGCCACTTGAAGATGTCCGGACTTCAACTCCCAGAATTCCCCAGCCAGCATTCGCTGGCTGGGGAACTCTGGGAGTTGAAGTCCGGACATCTTCAAGTGGCCAAGGTTGAGAAACACTGCTTTAGAAGGATAATGATGAAACATGAGAACCAACATTAAACAAAGGATAAGAAACAATAAAAATAGGTGTTTTAGCAATAAATCT